AAACGAGTTCAGGCGACAACGGTTAACCCGACTATCAGACCACCAACGTTTTCGTCCCTCCGAAAACAACCGCTGTGCCAACGGCCAGGTGTGGTCACCGCTGCCGTCCCTTCGGAGACTACTGCGTCAACTCCAACACGGCGATGATGTCCCTCAGCTTCCAGGATCAGTATACCACAACTTTCGCAGGTATCTACAAAGGTTTCCACTTTTTAGCTCGTGGTGCACGCTATCGAGTAGACGTCATCGAGGATCCCAATCGAGTAGTGGTCTCCGTCGACGCTATCAACTCTGAGCTCCGTGGCGAGTTGCGTAAACTCAACTGGTTGGGCGTCACTCATCTCTACTTCACCTTTGATCCCGACCGCAACGTGGTGATGCTTGAGAGACACGGTTTGATCGCTCACATGCACATCAGCCTCGGCTGTGCTGCCGCAATCGAGACGCCTCCGAAGGAGCCAAGTGTTGATCAGGAAGATGCCCTGGGAGGGGACAAAGAGGTCGATGATTTCCTCTTCGAGCTCATCAAGCTCCTCCTCAGCTAAAATAGGCCCCAGAGGACTCGTCACCATGATGCTCCAGCAGTAGCTGCAAGTTGAAGATCAGCATGCCGCATTTGTGTCTCTTGTATAAGGTATATGTCATCTCTTCTATCATTTGTATGTGTCATCTTCGATGATGGGTTCTATCACCTCTTCTTTCAACATCTATTGTCATTAGGGTTCATCGTGTCGGATGTCATTGAGTTATGGAGTTCAATTCTACTCTCACATATCCTTCGGATCTTGAGGAGGGAATTGTGAGTGAAAGAAAAACGTTCGAGTACAGGCGGCGACGAATGAGTGAGATTCTCACTGTGAGAAGAGTAGTCCGGAGAATGAGTCCGCTCTTTAGGTTAAGAAGCTTGTAGAGGATGATTTATGGTGCTGTATGATGCTCCAGGTACACACTCCTCTCCGGCTTGTGAGGGAGTCGTAGGGATGGAGATCGCAATCCGCAAGATACACACCATGATGGAACAGACTCGAATTGAGAATTAAGGAGCGCAGTGAGAAGTTTATGCAACTAGCACGACCGCCTTTTCGACCTTTATATATCACTTTAGCCATGTATCTGGCCCAAAGTATATACGATGGTCTTCTGCTAGGCCGCAGCTGGAAGGTAAATGCTAGTGACGACCTTTTCGCTGCATCATGCCTCCTACTTCGGCCGCTGCCCGCATCCCTCGGACAAAGTTGATTTTCATGTATTGCGACGACCTCAATGGTCACTGACAAAGATAAACTTCTCCGGTCGGGAAAATATCAATTAGCATTGTGACAGCCTCATCGGATTCTTTACGTTCGCGCCGAAGGCAAACTCCGGACAAGTGAACATTGTACTGGGGCGAGGGCGCGGACCATTCTGTTCGAATGTTATATCACAGGGACAAGACAGACGCAGGGGGCCTGAGAGAAAGTTATAGGGATCACTATCTCGTTGGGAGCACCTGTTACAACGATTGATATCAAAAATCTATTTCC